TGAATGTGCTAATCATGTTTTAGAGTTGTTATTTGATTTTCCCGCGGTGTGTGATGATTTGCTATGATGTATGTGAAGTCCCTGCCCTCTCCAAAGAATGTATAAAACTGCTGCAAACCCTGGGCTCGGGGCCTCTCGGCGTCGCCAGTTGCTGTGTGTGTGTGCGGAGGACCAAGCTAGCTCGCAATAAACACCTCTTTGCTGCTTACATCGATCTTGGGTCTCTGGTGGTCTTTGGGGGTCCCGAATTCGAGCATAACAGTATCTCCCCGCTCCATCTGAATTCTCTTTCTTCTGCCTGAAGGGATCCTTTCATGTTCTTTACTGTGAGTCTTTTGATGGTGAAGTCTCCAGTTTTTGATTGCCTGGAAATGTTTATTGTACCTTAACTTTTGAAGGCTATTTTCCTTCTATACGAGCATTATTTATTTTAAGCTCTTCAGGAACAATCATTACTCTGGCCTCCAGCGTCCGTTTTTCTGTTGGAAGACACGCTTTTTCATGGAAGGTCATTTGTCTCTCTCTCTCTCTTTTTTTTTCCTTTGCTTTTGAGACTTTTCTTCTTAGCTTTGGTTTTCAGCACTGTGAATGCCTAGTGAGGTTTCTTCCTATCTGGTTTTATGTTCATCCTGTCATCTCTGATGTCTTTTTCCAGTCACCGGAGGTTGGGCTGCTCTGATTGAGCTCTGGCTGATGCAGAACAGGAGGAAGAGACAAAGGCACCCAGCAAAGAAATTCTCAGTCCTCCAGGGCCTCTCTGTTCCTTCCTCTCCCACGTGAAGCTTGAAACCATCTGTATTTTCCCTCAGCCTTCATATTCCATGGGGGACTTCTGGAGCAGCCTCTTCTCTGTCACTTTCTTGCCTTGATCCTTTTTGCACTGGAAAACTCCTCTGGTTCCCTGAAGGCCCCAAACCAGGTCAGAAAGCACTTCTGTGGCCTCTCCCTGGGTTCAACATCCTTGCTGGGACTCTGCAGGATGGCTCCCACCCTCCTCGCTGTGTGTACCTGTCCTCTCTCCATGTCCCATGGCTGGCCTCCTCCACAGGCCCCGTCTCTCTGCAGATGGGAGGACCACCACTGACTTATACCAGGGTAGGAATGCTGGCTGCTGGTGTCATGATGATCATCAACATATGGACAGCGGGTCTGGAGAAACACAAGACGGAGCAGGCAGGCGGTGGGGTCAGTTCCAACAGTGGGGGAATAGGCATGCAGAGCCTGAGCAAAGCTGTCAACTCCTTCCTTCCTCTGAGGGGGCCAGCAAGAAGTTGGAGAGATCACCTCTCAGGGTTGCAGAGCTGAGCACAAAAAGAACAAAAGAAGCCCGGCATTTGTTCTTGGCCTTGAGTGTTTGTTTTAAATCTCCGCCTCAGTAGTCTCAGGTTCCCTCACTGGGAATACAGCTATTGGAAGAGCTGGTCCTTGCTCCCTCTCTTTTGGAGGGGAACTTTCCAGAAAGAGGCCACCCTCTGTGAATCACCCTAAGGGCGGAGCTTCTTGGGAGAACTGAGGGGAACCCACCCCTTGCTCACAGCGGGAACCAACTGCACCTGGAGTTTGCATCTCGTTCATGACTGAGTTAGGCCATGGTTTTCCCAACTAAAGATGGGTCCTAGCCCTCCTTTGCCTTTCAGATCCAGGGCCGCAGTCTGGCTGGGCACAAATAACTGAGCTGCCACAAAGCCTTGTAGATTCAAACAGCAACTCTTTATTCTCCAACTCTCACCGGCACTCCACACACCACCCAGGAACACACTCCCTCCACCGGGCTCCGTCCAATCTCTCCAACCCCCCCCCCCAAAGAACTTATGGGAACTCCAAAGTAGTAGGCGCCCTATTGCCCGACAGTAAAGGTCAAATATACAATACAATCAATCCAGCATCACAGCAATTATATATAGCTTAACTCAAATCATCATCTCAATGGTTCGCTGGTGTCACCTTACAACCATTCCCTCTGGCAAATGCCAGGCATCATTCTGACTGGGCTGTGGCTCTCAACAATCCAGGAATTAAGATTGATCAAAATCTTGGGCTGGGGTTGTGGCTCAGTGGTAGAGCGCTTGCCTAGCATGTGTGAGGCACTGGGTTGGATTCTCAGCACCACATAGAAATAAGTAAATAAAATAAAGGTCCATCAACAACTAATAAAAACATTTAGAAAAAATCCTTGGGAAATAGTCCAGAATGTTCTGAAGGCTTTTGTGAGGTTCTTTGCTTTCACTCAGAGAATACTAAGGCACAGGAATTAAATGACATGGCTTGGCCACCTCTCCAGAGCACTAAGAAACAGCTCTAGATTAAAGGAAGGATGAGGGTTGAGAGGGCCTCATGGTCCAGAAGAGACTTGTGAGCTGAGGGCCACCATGGGATGGTCCATAAGGGCAGCCATGGAGGCCTGTGGGGTGTGTGGGCAAGCAGAGGAGGGAGGGCAAAGCCAAGAACACTGCTGCCTGCATCCTTCTGGGGTTCAAGCCACGCCCCCACCCCTTTAGGCAGCTCCAGACCATGAGGTGTTGGAAGCTGGTGAGGAGCAGAAGGAGTTGGCTGGTGCCTAGAGTCTTGCTCTCAGTTCCTCATTCTGGGGTGCTATGGGTCCCCTAGTGGATCAGGATGCACAAGAAGAGCCCAATTGCTCACTTGTTGGGGCTGATTATATGGAAACACTTTTGACAATGAGAGGAGGTGAGATGTTAGTGTTAGGGCCACAAGAACATGGAGAAATGTGTAGGTTCACACTGCCTCCCACAGACCTGGGCTCCTCTGGCCACACAGGGTGATGTAGATAGTGATGCCACAGCATCCTGGCGGGGAGACAAGTCATACTCAAACCACACCCTGGGAGCAAAGGACCATGACATCATGTGGACTGGAGTGCTTCTAAGAAAAATGTTAATCAGTGAGTGAGAGGTCAGGAGCTGGTGCCCAGGCTACAGTCATGACAAGAGTGATGAGCTCAGCCTTGGAACCACTGATTCAGCAACAGCCACACTTCCTTACCCGCGGCCACCGCCAGCCCACACCGGTTCTAGACAGGAATGTGCATTAGATGTGGGACGTCTCTAGAGACCAGAAGCCATAAGGGTCCTTGTTTTTTTGACCCAGGAAGTCTACAGCTAGGAAAATATCCTCTGGAAAGAACTTAATTCACGGAGAAAGTTTTATTTATAAAGTACAGTTGGTATAGTTTATTTATGACAATTAAATATTGGAATCAGTCCAAATGTGCCACAATAGAGCATGATAATATTCATGTACTAAGCAGACAGTTGGGTCAATTAGGCAACTCCTAAAGTCACTAGAATTATTTGAAAGCGTCTTCTACTGTTAATTACAAACAAGAAAATGCCTAGTTCCATCTAGATAGAGACAATGGTAATCCTTGTCTCCTCATCACACAGTAAAAAGTGAAAAACAAGCAAGCAGACAGAACTATCATGAGCCAAGAAAAAGCTGCACTGGAGAGAAACAAATCAGCTGGCCACAGGGGTGCTTGCCAGTAATCCCAGTGACTCAAGAGCCTGGGAAAGGAGGATCACAAATTCAAGGCCAACCTTGGCAACTTATTCAGACTGTGTCTCAAAATCAAATAAAAAGGGCTGCTGGGCATGTAGTTCAGTGGTAGGGCATCCCTGGGTTCAATGTACCGCAATTTAAAAAGAAGAAGAAAGAAACAAATTTAAAATGTTATCAGGGGTTAGGCTTGAATAATAGAGTTTTTCCTACCTTTGAGGAAAAAAAAATTCTGATTATGCTGCAGAATTTGTTATGTAGGAGGGTGAGAATGTAGAGAAAAATCCCCACATTCTGAACCTGCATTTGCCGTGGAGTGTATCCAGATTTTACATACCAAATTAGTTTTTATTCTTTTCTGTGTTTTGCACATTTTTAAAATTAGCTCTTACTAACTTTGAAGAAAATCTATACTAAAGCATGTAAAAAACAACTTGAATCAAAGCTCCAGTAGCATCACTCCTTCCGTATTTCTGAGGCCCTCTCCTGTGTCTGTGAGGAGACTTTGTGGAGGTGTGATGCCTTCTCAGCAGCACCCATCTTGTGACCCTGAGATGACAAACCTGTAAAAGAAAAGTCAACAAAATGATGGAGGAAGGGGAGATGTTTCAAGAAACTCAGTCCTTGATGACACTATGGAATTCCAGCAAACCAGGGAAGGCCCATTTTAACTTTAACTAAAGACAGGAAATATTTCAGGATTTTTAAGAAACGAAGACTTTCCTTTTAAATGTCTCTCCCTTCTCAATTTTAAGGGCTAATTATTACTACAAGAAGTAAATATCCCACAACTTCTTTAATGCTAAACCACCTTTTTAATTGCTACAGGTAAGCTGTGGCCAGCACCGTGGTGCATACCACTTTCTTCACCTTTGTGTTTATATCCCTGGGATAGATCCCTGCAGAGCCCTTCTGATGGGAGGGTAACAGACTCTGAGGTTTATCTCTCTCAGGAGCCCTAGTCAACCCAGCCAACCCAGGGAGTGGCATCTTGGGAGGCTCAGAAAGCCTGATCAACCAGCCAGTATCTGAAAGCCAGCCTAATTCTCGCTCTTGGTGGCTGAGGCTTCCCTAATTCTGCTGTCTCTCTCCAGGGCACGGTTCCACCTTGTGCTTCTCAGGAAGTGAGAAGCTGTCTTCATCTCCTTACCATCCGTGCCATGGGATAGCTGGCCAGGAGGGGCAAGGCTGGGCTCTGGGAGAAAGGCTTTGCAGACTGCGGCTCTCGTGAGAAGGCGCCAGCTCGCTTGGTCTCAGCTGACACCAGCTTCTCACCTCCTCTCACTGTGGAAACCATTTCCCCATTGAGGAAGGGACTGAGCCACTCGTGCAAATTGCTTCAGCCCTGTGGTGACCCCCAGCCCTGCCAGCTCATGCAACATGCAGCACAGCACCAACACCATGGTTAAAAGATCCCCCTTGACCTCCCCAGATGTTACACTTCCAATGCCCCAGGCTGCCTATAAAGAGAGGAGAAGCCTCAGACCCCACAAGGGAGCAGCAGCCTCGAGTCCTCCCGCCCCATCTCTTCTCGGCCAGCACTTGAGCCCAATCTGCAGCCCAGCATCATGGAGGTCCCCGTGGCCGTCCTCGCTGTCCTGTTCTTCACTGGGGCCCTCTCCTCCCTGACCTGCTCAGCCTCCCGTGAGTCTGTCTTTTGCTCTGTGTCCTAACTCTTTGACCAAGGGCTGGACGGCAATGTCAAAGTCTGTGCCTGAGGCCCTCCAAGCAGGGCATGCCAGAAGAATTTTGAGGCTCCTGCCCAGAGAATTTAGCTTCCTAAGGGGTTTTGGTGACTCGATTCTAGAGGACAGAGAGAGACAGCATCTCATTTTATGGATTGGAAAGTGGAGGCCCAACTGGGATTTTGACAGACGTAGTTTATTAAAAAAAAAAATACTGAATTTACTGTAGAGAGACATAAAGTCCCCAAACTAAGGTAAATAAATAAAAGAAATACCAACTTCCTTCTGGGTCCCTCTGTCCCCCCATCCCCACCTCAAGCATGCTAGCCCTCGCTTGGGGGAAGGCCAGGAGAGGCTGGTCGGCCTCTCCTTCTGAACAGGCACTTGGGGTCTTTCTGTCCTGTCCCTCACAGTGGGTGCTGACACCCCCACCGCCTGCTGCTTCTTCTACATCTCCCGGAAGATTCCACGCAAATTTGTAGATGACTATTATGAGACCAGCAGCCAGTGCTCCAAACCGGCGGTCATGTAAGGGCCAGGCCTCCTGGCCACCCGTGGAGAGGGAGGCTGGCGGGCTGGGTGAGGTCCCATGGGAGTGCTCTGCTCCGAAGGCCCGTCGGGTGCAGGAGTCCAGGAGGTGCCTGGGGGGTTTTCAGACCGGGACTGGGGCCCACAGAGCCCTGGGCAGTGGGAAGAGGGGGAGGAGTGACAGCAGGAAGGGGCTTTCTGAGCAAACCCTCATGAGACATTTGGGGAGGGTTCGGGAACCCCAAGGTTCTAGGGAAACTGTCTGGTCAGGCCCCGAGGTGTCTGGGCAGAGAAGGATGCAGGGGCCCTGGGAGTCCCCTGCTGGAGTCCTCAGTATCCCCTCCTTCCACTCTTCTCCACAGCTTCCAGACCAAGAGAGGCCGGCAGGTCTGTGCTGACCCCAGCGAGGCGTGGGTTCGAGCCTACATCACCGACCTGGAACTGAACGCCTGAGTGGCCTGGAGGAAGCGGGGAGGCAGCACATCTGTAGGTGGACGGGGGAGCAAACACCTGAGCCAGGGCTGTGACCCCGCAGTTCTGGAGGCCACCCGTTCTGTGGGTCCTACCCTCATGCCCAGCCTCACTCTGGGGCCCTTCTTACATTTTAGTGTATGTATCTCATTTAATTGTTGTAATCAATCTCGTTAAAAATTATATTATGCAATGCATGTTTTCTCTGACAGCCAGTGACTTCCTCTTCACCACCCTTCCCCCTTTTCCTTTCAACTCTTCTCACACATAATACACAGAGCAGCCAGTGTGATTAGCTGTACCAGAGAAATTATGCCCATATAGATCTCAAACAACAGGCGCTTACTGAATGATTTTGTCCAGCGTGGCTTACAAATGATTGAAGGCACTTGTGATAGTTTTATTGATTTTGTTTGCTCAACTAATCAGAAACACAGATGGACACAGACCCTGGAAGAAGAGTAGCGAAATATGAAAAGAGGCAGACAACCCAGAAACGGGGCAGAGCAGTACTGCAGATATACCAGGTGCTCCCTGGAGATACTCTCCTGAAAAGTTGAACCAGACACTCTTATTTTATAAACCAGATCATAAGTGATTTGATCTAGGAATATTTTGTGCCAAGACAATACCCACTGATGCACATAAGTTCATTTTCTCATTCATGCTTTCTTCTGTGTGATGGCTGACATTTCTTGAAAGCTTACCGAGTTCTGGGTTCTGTCCTAAGTGCTCCCTTAGGTTAGTAGCAAGTCTAGTGACCCTGCCTGTGGAAGAGCAAAGACCTGGCAGGTGGCTGAGAGCCTTGGTCAGATTCCGTGCTCACTGCTCAGCTTTGGGGGAGAATGTTCTTTCTCCATATCCATCTTTGAATTGAGGGTTGGGGGCTCGGGTGGCCAGCATTAGACAATAAAAATACAGATTGAATCTTTTTCTTTCTTGGTATATCTTAATACAATATTTGTGACATACAAAGAATTGTTTGTTGTTGACCAGAAACTCAAATTTCACTGGATGTCTGGTTGTATCTGGCAACCCTCCTTAGAGTGAATGTGTCTTACAAAGGTGACTATTCCCTGTACTAGGTGGGAGTCCAAGGATTGGCTTAAATTGAATTCACCAGTAGAATCACTTGGAGGAGCTTTTAAAAACTTCAATGTCAGGGCCTTACCTCCAAAGCTACAAATTTATTGGATTTGGGAGAGGACTGGCATCTGTGATTTAAAAACTTCCCAGGTGATATTAATGCCAGCCAAGTTTGAGAACCACTGATAAGGTATAGCCACAGGCTGTTTGGGGCCTGCCTGGGGGTTTCAGAGATAATGGAATTTCTTTGGATTTTTTTTTTTTTGTACTGGATTAAATCCAGGGGCACTTAAACACTGAGCTCTTTTTATATTTTGTTTTGAAACAGGGTTTCTTCAAGTTGTGTAGGGCCTTGCTAAATCTCTGAGGCTGGCTTTGAACTCACAATCCTCCTGTCTTAGCTTCCCAAGCCCCTGGAATTACGGGTACGCACCACCGCACCCAGCCTCTTTGATTTGTTTTTCTTTCTTTCTTTTTTTTTAAATTTGTTATTTTAAGTTATATGTGACAGTAGAGTAATTTAAAAAAACATTTTCCACATTTTTTACTGGTGCATTATAATTGTACATATTGATGGAATTTGTCCCTTTGATTTTGGAAGTCTTCGGACCTACTTGTTTTTTTTTTTTTACTAATTCCATTGTATGGTTACTCATAAACAAACAAGAAAATCCCCAGATACAACATTACTTCTAGAACTAGGTTTTGGAAGCCCTCTCCCCATGCACAGCTTGTCCAGAGTCTCCCACCCACGCCCTCATCCTCTGCCCACTTGTAGCTCCACATTGCCCTCTGCTGGTGGAACAGTGCAACAGGTTGGAGGGCACCATCATTGGCTCCTGCCTCTGCTGCATCCTAGCCCAAAGAACTGGACCGTTCATTGTGACGGTTAATTTTATGGGTAGATTTGACTGGGCCAAGGGTTGCCTTGATAGTCTATAAAACATTATTTCTGGGTGCATTTATGAGGTGTTTCTGGAAAGATTAACATTTGAATCAGAAAACTGAGTAAAGATCACTCTCACCAACTCAGGCAACCCACCAAGGACCAAAAGAGAACAAAAAGGCAGAGGAAGGGTGAACTGCTGTCTGTTCAAGTTGTGGCATCTGCTCAGAGCATCTGCCTTTGTCCTCAGGCTTTCAGACTGGGCCAGGACTTGCACCATCACCTCCTCCTTCCCCTGCTCGGGCTTCTGGACCTGGGCCAGGATTTCCCCCATCACCTACCCTGGCTCTCAGCCTCCAGACTGAAGTACTCCACCCACTTTTCTGGTTCTCCTGATTGTGGCCACATCAGTATCACAGATAACATCATCTAGAGAGAGACGATGTCTGTTGTTCTGTTTTTCTGGAGAGCGCTCATACATTTATTTTATCAACAAGACAAAATGGGCAAACCTTTAAAAGGACGGATTTGAGAAGGGAGTGAATCAGGCTGCCTGTAGACCTAACTTCTGGGTCCTGCCTAGTCTCTCACCTTCTCATTTCTGCTTACACTAATATTGATTTGAAGAGAAGAACTATTGTGTTTTTAGTCCTGCAAGCTCCAAATCACTGGATTCTCAATCAGCTTGGTTTGCAGGTGGTAAAAAGCAGGAGCCTCTCTTAAAACTATTTTTTCTTCCCTTTTATCAGATGAGTCCATTTTAAAGTAAGTCAATCTTTTTCTTAGTGGGTCTATGGACTCATGCAAGACATAGTCAGTCTCCAGTATTCTCAAATTTTTTGAGCTCTTCTTATCCATATCCCTTTAAGTTTTTTCTTTTTCCTAATTGCTCTGGCTAGAGTTTCAAGGACTATGTTGAATAGAAGTGGTGAAAGAGGGATCTCTGTCTTGTTCTAGTTTTTAGAAGGGATACTTTCAGTTTTTCTCCATTTAGAATGATGTTGGCCTTGGATTTAATGTATAGATTTTTTCCAATGTTGTGGTATGTTCCTACTATCCCTAATTTTTCTAGTGTTCTGAATATGAGTGGATACTGTACTTTGTCAAATGCTTTTTCTGAATTCTTTGAGATAATCATGTGATTCTTGTCTTTAAGTCTATTGACATGGTGAATTATGTTTATTGATTTCCATATGTTGAGCCAACCTTGCAGTCCCTAGGATGAAACCCATTTGATCGTTGTGACTTATCTTTTTTAATATGTTTTTGTATGCAATTTTCCGGTATTTTATTCAGAATTTTTGCATCTATGTTTATCAGGGATATTGGTTTGAAGTTTTCTTTCCTTGATGTATCTTTGTCTGGCTTTGGTATCAGGATGATAATAGCTTCATAGAATGAGTCTGGAAGGGTTCCCTCCTTTTCTATTTCACGGAATAATTTGAGGAGAATTGCTGTTAGTTCTTCTCTGAAGGTCTATAGAACTCAACTGAAAATCTGTCTGGTCCTGGACTATTTTTTGTTGATAGGCTTTTGATAACATCTTCAATTTTATTGCTTGAAATTGATGTGTTTAAATTTTCTATGTCCTTCTGATTCAACTTGGATACACCATATATCTTTATAAATTTGTTGATGTCTCCAGGTTTTTCTATTTTATTGGAGTATAAAGTATCAAAATAGTTTCTGATTATCATCTATATTTTAGTAGTGTCCCTAGTGATATTTCCTTTTTCAACACCAATTTTAGAAAGTTGAGTATTTTCCCCCCTTTCTCTTGGTTAGCTTGACTAAGGATTTATCAGTTTAATTTTTTCAAAGAACCAACTTTTTGTTTCATTGATTTTTTTGAATTTTTTGTTTCACTTTTATTGATTTTGGCTCTGATTTTCATTATTTCCTGTCTTCTAATGTTTTTGGTATTGATTTGTTCTTCTTTTGCTATGGCTTTGAGATGTGATATTAGGTTATTTATTTGATGACTTCTATTTCTTTAATGAATGAGCTCAATGCAATGAACTTTCCTCTTAGAACTACCTTCATAGTATCCCAGATATTTTGATATGTTGTATTGCTATTTTCATTTACCTGTAAATATTTCTATTTCACCCCTGCTCTCTTTAGCTATCTACTGTTCATTCAATAGCATATTATTTAGTCTCCAGGTGTTAGAGTAGCTTCTATTTTTTTTAAAAATCATTGATTTCTAATTTCATCCCATTATGATCTGATAGAATGCAAGGTATTATCTCTATATTTTTTTGTATTTGCTAAGAGTTGCTTTGTGGCCTAAGATATGATCTATTTTAGAGAAGGATACATGTGCTGCTTAGAAGAAAATGTATTCAGTAATTAACAGATGAAATAGTCTATATATGTCTGTTAAGTTTAAATGATTAATTGTAGTTTTGAGTTCTATAGCTTCTTTATTTAGTTTTTGTTTGGAGAATCTATTCAGTGATGAGAGAAGCATGTTAAAGTCACCCAGTATTATTGTGTGGTGGTCTATTTGCTTCTTGAAATTGATAAGGGTTTGTTTGATGTACATAGATCTTCCATTGTTTGGGGCACAAATATTTATGATTGTTTTGTCTTATTGATGTATAATTCCCTTAAGCAGTATGAAATGACCTTCTTTGTCCCTTCTGATTAATTTTGGCTTGAAGTCCATTGCATCTGATACAAAGATAGAAACCTCTGCTTGTTTATGGAATCCATGTAAATGATATGTTTTTTCCATCCTTTTACCTTCAGTCTGTGGATGTCTTTGGCTATGACATGAATCTCTTGGACACAGCATATTGGGTCTTGTTTTTTTTAATCCAATCTGCCAGTTTATATCTTTTGACTGATAAGTTTAGGCCATTTATATTCAAAATTATTATTGAGAAATGATTTTTATTCCCTGTCATTTTGATTTGTTTCTGGCTTTTAATTTGACTTAGTTTCTCCTTTGATTGACTATTCTCTCTAGTGTAGTTTCTCCCTTTGCTGGTGTTCATTTTTATTTTCATTTCTTCTTCATGAAATATTAAGTATGTTTTGTAGTGCAGGCTTTGTAATTGTGAATTCTTTTGACTTTTGTTTATTGTGGAAGATTTTTATTTCATTGTCAATTCTGAAACTTAATTTTCCTGGGTATAGTATTCTTTGCTGGCATCCATTTTCTTTCAGAGCTTGGTATATAGTACTCCAAGATCTCTGCTTTGAGGATCTGGGTTGAAAAATCAGCTGAGATCCAGACTGGTTTCCCTCTAAATGTGACCTTTCATTTTCCTATGGCAGGCTTTAAAATTTTATCCTTATTCTGTATCCTAGGTATTTTCATAATAATGTGTGGGTCTGTTGTAATTTTGTATATTTGGGGTCCTATCAGCCTCCTTATTTGATTTTTCCATTTCATTCTTAAGGTTTGTAAAACTTTATGATATTATTTCATTGAAAAAATTGCACACACAATTCCTTTGGTTTGTATCTCTGAGCCTCCATCTATCCTGATAAATCTTATATTTGATCTTTTCATGTTATCCCATATTTCTTGGAAGTTTTGTTCATGGTGTCTTAACATCCTTTCTCCATGGTCTCCATGGTAGAGGGGAATCCTTCTATCATGGTCTCCATGGTAGAGGGGACTCCCCACCTGGGTGTTGGGGGTAGGTTGGTGATACTTTTAATTGAATTTTAAATTTGTTTTATTGATTCTTTCATTTCAAGGATCTCTGCTTGACTTTTTTTTAAGTATCTCTATCTCTTTATTGAAGTGATATTTTGCTTCCTGTATTTTCTTTCTGGTTTCACTCCTTACATTGTTTACCTCTCAGATCAGTTTAACTGTGAACATTCTAAACTCCTTCTTTGACATTTCTGCCACTGTGGTGTTGATGGATTCTGTTATTGAAGTATTTTGGTTTGTTTGGGCAGTTTTTTCCCT